TAACCGCGATTGCTCTTGGAGAAGAGGTAAAAAAAAAAATAATCCAAAACAAGGAAGTATCAAATTCCTAAAAGAGGCCATTAATTGCATACCTCTGGCAAATGAGAATGGAGCTGATTTTGAAAATGCCGCTTTCATTTTTAATCCTCCAACCGGACAGTTTATTGTTATAGCAGGAAAGGGTGATTAGGAATATTACTTTTCCGAGGGTGATAGCAACAATATAACCTGTAAGTGTGTCTGCAAGCCCTGTTTGATATATCTCTGAAACAAACGCACATTTGGTTTTTCAAGCATCACCTTGATATTGTTTCTTGCTGAAGTAGTCATCAAGGCTTTTAGGTCTAATTAAGTGTAATCTTGGAGAGCTAAATATAGGTTTTATGTCTCATTCATTTGTGCGTTTTAGAGCCCCAAACAAGCCAAAGGTACCGGTTAAGTTAGTTTCTTTGCAATACACAGAACGTCATTGCATTCTTAGTTCCCGCTTGATTGCTATGTTCTGAAAGCCGCTCTTAGAGATTAAATTGTTGAGTACTGATAAGTAAATACAGGAAAATTTTGAATGCGACCTCCCTTTGAAAAGGCCTCTATGGAAAAAGAGAGTGTTGTGAAGTGCTATTACGATTCAAGGTTTTTGAAGGTTAGCATGTAAAGATTGTACCAGTCCTATCTCCTTACGATAGGTTCCATTGTTGTCTTTCTCCTTTGACTTTGTGTTTTTGATTGTATTTTTGATATAACAGGAAACGTAAAGTTACTGTGATAGACATTCAGCTTTAAAAAAAAAGCGTGCACATATTAATCAAACGATGGTGGAGTGTTAACAAGGTCACCTTCAGCCTCACTTCAAATCAAAGGCTTGGCAACTAAGTACACAACCGTAAAATGGCCTATTCAAAGGGAAATAGATTGTCTAGAAATCCTGAAAGACTGCGAACATCGTGGAGATGCATATTAAAGTACCTAATGATAAAGTAAATAACACAATTATTAGGTCATTCAATTCAGCATCCCGCTGCATGATCCTTCACGATAAAGTTTTATAGCGAATAGTGGGTCATTTCGCTCTGATGCTCTGGATCATCTCCAATCATAATTTGCGTACTTATATTTATGCTATACAGATACGGCACTTCTTGATGGATCAATTTCTCCCTTTAGTAATGTTTGGTTGAGTGGCGTGAAATACACGTTTTTGCATACATTGTGGTGGTATATCAGTAACATAAACCGCCCAAACTGAGTTAGAGTATTGTCACTGTTCTCGAAATAAACCGTTTTTCGTTGCAGTAAACACCAGCAAAAACCAGGTGATGATGTTTGGTACATGAGAAGTCCTTTAGGAAAGAACCATTTGGCAAATTTATTTCCAAGGCCGCCAAAAATTCGGGAATACGTAGCAGAGTCATTAACCACTCTGTACGGATTTCGTCCATCTCACGTCTCTTTTCAATCCTGCGCGCTTTGTGCTTGGGTCATAAATCCGAGCGAAAAAAACTCGTTCCGTAACATGCAGAGGTGCCCTCGAACTCGGTTAGTAAGAGGTATCTCGTGCTCTCCAAACTTCCCGCGTACATCCATACCTCGATTTACGCACGCTAAGCATGGACCAGTTCTTTATTATAACATAGCGCGCGTGCTTGCCCTATGTAAGTCCTATTGACCTGCTATGAACAAAATCTTTATTTACGTACGCTCGTGTGTAAATAAGATGACGTGAGCATTTTTATACCTGGCTTCAGAGTTTCCGTCCTGTTAAGCTGCAGCTGCAGTGCAATTTTCCTTCTCTTTGAAATATGGAAGAAACCAGCGAAGAACTGCCCAATTTTTTTATCGGCATCGACCTTTTAGGTCCTTATCCAACAAGCAACAAAAGTAAAGCCGAAAAAAACTCGCAAGTTGCATGTTTCGCAAATTTGTCGGAAGACGAGCTGCAGCAAATTTTGGCCGAAAGACATTCACTGGGTACAAAAGAAGTCACCAATTGGTCATTGTTGTTTTTAAATTTGTTCAACCTAAAGAATAAGGTTGTTAATTGGCAATTTACTAAAAACAAAACAATCACAATTGCAAAAAGGCTTCTTCGCGCAGATCCTTGTTGTCGCTCTGTTTGTTATAAAAGAATTTGCTCATGCTTTTAGCTGTGCGTATATCGAGTTATGGCTGCACTTGAGATAATAACGTAACGTCAGAAGGCCCGCGTTCTTCTAGTTTACTGTTATTTTTTGACCTAGATTTGATACGCCATAATGTACTGCACCATTACCTAAAAATAACAATTTGGTCTTCATCAACTAGAACTGTCATGGTCTCCATTTAGGGCAGCAGAGGTTTCCATATGTCAGACACGTTCATCCAGACTGTATGCAGAAGATATTATCCAATGTTCAACAATCATTGTCAATATTTGTTTTGGCGTTCGACTTCACAAATATTTATTTAGTTTGGGTTTTCTAATTTCTCGTTTACACCAGGAAAGCGGTATCCATCTAAAATGTAAATTTTCGGGGAATGTTTTACTTTAATTTTTTATGAGGAAGAGACTTTTATTATTCTTTACTGTGATCGACACTTGTCATGTTCTGCTTGCACTTAAATACTACCCTGAATCAGGTGTAGTCTCCAGAATCACGTTTGAATCTAAATTGGGATGTCTTCCTTAATGGAACTTGGAACTATCTTACATTGAAAATTTGAAATACGTCTTCGGGTCAGTGAAAATAACGAAATTTTCGAAAAATGGCTCTCTGCATTTGGGATTTATTTGGCAAGAAATTGGGGATTTAAGATCCAGGACTGTAAATGTTATATACGAATGAGGAGACAAGATATGGGAGTTTCGTCAGTTGGATTCGAAAAGACAGATCGGAAAAGCTACATAATAACAATAAATTAACCATGTAAACATATTTTCCAAAATTCTGATCACTAACAAGTATTAGCGAAGACCGTGTTACCAAGAATTACATAAAAATATATAAAAATAATAAACATATTTTCAGTAATTTGTATAACAAAACGAGGGTACGGAAAGCTACAACGCAATCTTAACAAAATAGGAAACAAGATTAAAAATGAAACAATTTGGATTGACGTAATTCGAAATTGAAAATGTAAATATTTGACAGAAAGATGTCATCAAGGTGTTTTGGTCGAATTTTACACAGCGATCACCATGCTTGAATCTTCACGCATCGTGGATTCACTGGACGGCCTCTCTTTTTGAAGTAAGGACCATTTAAGAAGTGCAAGCGAAATTTAATACAGGTTTGTGAAAAGGTTATGGGTGGACGACACATTTGATATTCGTAATTTTCACTTATTTATTTAGGATTGTAAATATGTGATAATTACAACCATCCCGTCAATGCGCGTCGAAAGTGTCTTGAATCGGGAGATTGTCTAAGGCAGAAGATGTTTTCATCTAGAAATATTTCTTTCTCAAGATATTACTTTTCGTCATTTTCCATCACTTGCCGTTTGATAACAAAAATGACTTAAATATTTTTTCAGAGACTTTTTCGACTGATTTATGCATCCAATGCAGATATTATCAGACGTTATAATTTGCATATCTTGGAAAAGAGGAAATAAATTTGTTGATGGTCAGTGCCAACAACAAAGTTATGGCAGACTATAGCGAGTGTTTATCAGGTGTATAACTTAACAGAAGCAGTCAGACATAGAAGTCTTTCTCGTATTTTTGCTTCCCTTTGCACCTATACCCTTTAGGAAAAGATCGCCTCGTTGGCTTTGCATTATTTTTTGTCGAACTAATAGAGCCCACTGAAGGTCTGTCATTGATTCACAGCTGCTCATGATCAAGAACAAACCGACAAATTCACAAAGAAGTAAAATGAAATACGTAGAACGTAATTTCGCTATTTCCCTAGATTGTCTTCACTTTCCTACATTTTCCTTCTTTAAAATTGTTCATTCCACCGAAGGTAACTTTCTCTTTGGTTTGTCATCTTGTTCGTGAGACCACGTGGCTAATTACTTACTAAAATAAGTTTTGAAATACGGAGAACCTGCCTTAAGACTCGCGAGAAAGTACAAAATCTCCTTTTTAAGTTAATCTTATTGTTTATTGGATTTGTGATCCAGGATCACACAGATCACGGTGCATGCAAGGAACGGGCTTTTAGACGAGCTCTCATAGAATTCCAAAAAGTGCGCTATTTTAAGACTTATGTATGCACGTGGGTTATTGAGCTCTTCCCTGAATGGCTCGTCTTACTGCATGGGCTTTTAGCAAGCACTATTCATTAGAAACACATTTTTTCATGGTAAACTCAAACGATGGAATTAAAACAGAAGCAAATATTGATTACGATATGGATACTTGGGAACCCTGAATGCCTGCGATCAATGGCCGATCGATTTAACATTACAAAATCGATTTTAGTTCGTGTTTATCGCAGAATTTGTGGAGCGATTGCCAATAATCTTTCCGGTCAATATATGAGGTACCTACTTGTTTAAAAATGATTGATGTCGGATCCTTCGCCCAAAGGAATGCGTTGGATCAGTGATCCAATGATCCGTATTTAGATCGCGCAGATCAGTGAACCGATGAATCCTTGTCCAGAGTGGATTTGATAGATCACTGATCTAAAAATGGATTTGCTCAAAAGGAACGCCGCAGATCAGAAATCCTGATCCGGATTCTCACAAAGGAACGCACCCTAAGATTTTTTCACTAGGGTTATTTATGGAGAAAATCAAAATGTCCTGCTGCATTCCTTTTCCTGTTTCCAGTATTTCCATTCCTGTTCATAGCTCCAGTGACGTCCTGAAATATCATCGACTCAACCAAAGTGAACTTAGTTTTAAAAAAAATTTTTACTTTTAAAATGTTTTGCTTCCTTTGAGTTGACAATCGATTCCTCTCACCACACCCCAGGTTGGTATTGAATAAGATTTTAGGGGGCCAAGGGTGTTCCCTTTACTGATTTTTTATTCAGTAATAACAGTCTTATCCTATTAAACTTTAGCAACAGAAAAAACAGGGAACTAAAGATGAAACCAGATACCGAGTGGATTGTTATCACAGTCCTCTACGCCATCACGATGCTCGTAGCGTTTGCAGGGAATGGTTTCCTCGTCTACATCGTGTGGAAGAAGCCCGAAGTGAGATCACTGACAAGCTTTATGTTTGTCAACATGGCTATCGCTGATTTGCTTGTAACCTTGGTAGTGATGCCCTGGTCGATTTCCTTTATATATACAGACGGTTTGTGGATGATCCCGGGAGTATTTGGAAAAGTCATGTGCAAAGGTGTTGTATACACTGCCTACGTCACTTTAACAGCATCCATCCTCTGCCTGACGTTCATGGCGATCGACAGGTACTATGCCATCGTTCATCCCCTCCGCCGCCATCTTTGGTTTCGAAAGCCTAAACTAACCGTTCCATTTATTTGGATCGGCTCACTGGTCTCCATGTCCATTTTCCTTGTTATTCAAACTGTGGAGGACTACAATAATTCTTCCTATTGCATGCTATCTGTTTACATCTTGGGTGATCCAGATAGGGCTCTTCGAGGAATATACCTCCTCCTTTTTGTCGTCAACTATCTCATCCCCTTGGTCGTTATTTCTTTCCTGTATACCATAACTGCATGGAACTTATGGTTCCATGTTGCACCTGGAGTGAATACTTTGAGAGGAAATCGAGCACAACTCGAAACCTCCAAGAGAAGAGTGGTTCGGATGCTCATTATTGTTACCTGTGCCTTTGCCCTTTGTTGGCTCCCACCACAAGTGGTCCACATGATGATCGTCATTCGCGCATCAAAGTTTCAGCTACAGCCGATTGTCAGCTTTGTGTGTTTCTGGTTTGGACACGCCAACAGTGCCGTTAACCCATGGCTGTACATTTTTCTGAGCACCAAGATAAACACAGCATTTACTAGGATCGTCAGTAGAAAAAGCAGCCAGTTGCCTTCAAGTCTCACCATCAAAACATCAGATGTCGTTTTACCACCTGGAAACCAGAATGAATCAAGAATATAATTACCAATTTGGTAACTGTAAGATAGAAACTCTTTTAAAACGGATTTGCGTATCACTAATTATATAATATAATACAAACACCTATATGCGGTTTCATAAAGGTTACTGTAGTAAACCGAGTAATTTCATTAGAAATTGATAATTGCAACTAATTTCGACAATAACCGTTCTATCGGCTGGTAAGAATAAAAGGGGGGATCCGTTGCAGAGTGAACTATAGGAAGAAGTATACTAGCATTGCTTCTTCGATGTTTGAGGCAGTGTGGTGAGGGTGCTGAACTAGTGATCTAGTGGTCACGGGTGAAAGCCCTCTACCTTATTACTCGCTAGATTTGTTTCGTTTTTCCCTCGGGTCGATTCTTTGACTCGCTTTGTTCAGAATCCCGCTGCATGATCCTTCACGATAAAGTTTTATAGCGAAAACTGGGTCACTTCACTCTAATGCCGGATCATCTCCGATACATTACGTAGTTATATTTATGTTATACATATACGGCACGTCTCGATGGATCGATTTCTCTTTTTAGTAATGTTTGATTGAGGGGCGTGAAATACACGTTTTTGCATACATTGTGGTGGTTTATCAGTAACATAAACCGCCCAAACTGAGTCAGAGTATTGTCAATGTTCTCGAAATAAACTGTTTTTCGTTGCAGTAAACACCAGCAAAAACCAGGTGATGATGTTTGGTACACGAGAAGTCTTTTAGAAAAGAGTCACTTGGTAAATTTAATTCCAAGGCCGCCAAAAATTCGGTAATACGTGGAAGAGTCATTAACCACTCTGTACGGATTTCGTCCATCTCACTTCTCCTTTCCATGCAAGATAGAGATACCTCAGAAATTCTGTTGGTTTATAACATAAGTACTAACTGTAAGTACTAACCTGGTTTTTCTGCTCGATTTATGATCCCTGCGCGCTTTGTGCTTGGGCCATAAATCCGAGAGAAAAAAACTCAGTCCGTAACATGCAGAGCGGCCCTCGAACCTGTTAGTAAGAGGTATCTTGTGTTTCCCAAACTTCCCGCGTACATCCATACCTCGATTTACGCACGCTAAGTATGGACCAATTTTTTATGAATCTGACAATTTGAAACATCCTGCTTACGACGGTGATCGATATTTTTTCGTTAAGGTCAATTCTGTCCCTAAGTAAGTATTCTGAGAAAGATAGTTAGGACGTTTATCATACAAATTTGTCGAAACGTCCACAGATCGAGAGACAAGCGAAGCAACTGCGTCAGTATTCACCTTTAATGAGAAAACCCCGAGGAATCAGTCACATTTGAAAACGCTTTATTATAACATAGCGTGCGTGCTTGCCCTATATAAGTCCTATTGAGCTGCTATGAACAAAATCTTTATTTACGCATGCCCGTACGTAAATAAGATGACGTGAGCGTTTTTTTGGCTTCAGATTTTCCCTCCTGCTAAGCTGCAGTACAGTTTTCCTTCACTTTGAAATATGGAAGAAACCAGCGAAGAACTACCCAATTTTTCTATTGGCATTGACCTTTTAGGTCCTCATCCAACAAACAACAAAAATAAAGCCGAAAAAACTCGCAAGATGCACGTTTCGCAAATTTGTCGGAAGACTAGCAGCAGCAAATTTTGACCTAAAGACATTCACTGGGAACAAAGAAAGTCACCAATTGGTCATTAATAACTTTAAAGGTAAAATTTCCGCTTTTATTGTTGTTTTTAAATTTGTTCAACCTGGGGAATAAAGTACACAGTTGTTCATTGGGAATTTACTAAAACCAAAACAATCACAATTGCAATCTATCACAATAAAAGGCTGCTTCGCGCAGATCCTTGTTGTCGCTCTGTTTTCTATAAAATAATTTGCTCATGCTTTTAGCTGTGCGTATATCGAGTTATGGATGCACTTGAGATAATAACGTAACGTCAGAAGAGCAGTGTTCTTCTAGTTTAATGTTATGTTTAGATCTAGATTTGATGCGCCATAGTGTGCTGCACCATCACCTAAAAATAATAATTTGGTCATCATCAACTATCTGTCGTGGTTTCCATTTAGGGCAGCAGAGGTTTCCATATGTCAGACACGTTCACCCAGACTGTAGGCGGTAGATATAATCCAATGATCAACAATCATTGTCAATATGTGTTTTGGCCTTCGACTTTACAAAATATTCATTTACTTTAGGTTTCCTCATTTCTTGTTTACAAGGCGTTATCCATCTAAAATGGAAATTTTAGGGAAATGTTTTACCTTAATTTTTTATAAGGAAGAGACTTTTATCATTCTATTTTGTGATCAGCATTTGTCATGTTCTGCTTGCATTTAAATACTACCCTGAATCAGGTGAAGTCTCCAGAATCACGTTTGAATCTAAACTATGATGAAACTTGTAAAATAACCATCGCAGGCCATCTTAGATTAAAAATTTGAAATACATCATCGGGTCAGTGAAAATAACGAAATTTTTACATTTGGGATTTATTTGGCAAGAAAATTGGGGATTTAAGATGATTACTTCCTTGGTCCCGCCTTCGTGGAAAATGGCTTCAATCTTTTTCCAGAAACGTTTTTGACTGATCTATGCCTCCGATGCAGATGTTATCAGACGTTATGATTTGCATATCTTGGGAAGAGAGGAAATAAATTTGTAGATGGTCGGTGCCAACAACAGCAATTCCACATCTTCGTGGATGAGAGAAAAGTTGTAAGAACAACAACGTGCCACACAAAGCACAGCCTAGTGTGACACTGTGAGTTACTACTGGAGAGACCCACGGCAATATTTATTTGCTTAAATATTGATTATCGGGATGCCAACGAGGAGCCTGTCCTCCAATTGAACATTAGTAAAAATTAATCCAAATGAGTGTGATTTATCTTGTTATACAAAGCTATGGCGGAGTCAGTATAGCGAGTGTTTATCAGGTGTATAACTTAACAGAAAAAGCAGTCAGACATAGAAGTTTTCCTAGTATTTTTGTTTTCTTTTGTACCTATGCCCTCTAGGAAAAGATCGCCACGCTGGCTTTACGAAACTGCTCGAATTTATTAAAGAAAAGGAGGTAAATGTTTTAGCAAAAAGTTTCAAATTTCAATTTTGATGGTTTTATTAATTATCATCGGCTTAACGCTTCTGAAAGTCGTGATAATAAAATTATCTTTTATCTGTTTTTATTTTTTTTTTAGCATGAAAGTAAGACACGTGCATTGTGTCTGATCACAGTTTCTCTACTCACCAAGCCTCCATGACCTCCAAAACATAAAATGTCATTTTGTCAATGGGCAACTAGCTGTGTGTTCGTTTTTTGTTCGGAGCCAGTTGAGAAGTGATTTGGCCTCTGAAAAATTCAAGCACTTGCGAGACTTCTTGGAAACTTCAAATTTCTTAATCTACAGATGAACATTAAATATTGGGAATTTGGATCAAATGCATCTATTAATGATGCATGACACAAAAAGGTGAATAATATGGAGATGTAAAGTGTGAAAAAAGTGGGATGACATCTCTGAATAAATTCTGTCTCTATGCTTTTCCTTTGTTCTGAAAAACCAGAAGAGTCGTCGTTACGGACATAAATGCAATGTTTGTTTTTCCAAACCGATGTACATTAGAGTTGTAATTCTTTTAAGGTCTTTTAACCCTCCTAATGTTGCTCAGTTAAAAACTGATCATCGTCGTTTGATACAAGCACTTTGATCGTCGCTTGATAATACAAGCACTTTGATCGTCGCTAGATAATACAAGCGCTTTTCCTTCGCACGGTTCAACCGTACCTGCAATTTCCAGACATAAATTCGTCGCTATAAGTTGCTATATAGACCTAAGACTGCACATAAAATGACAATGGTGAGGTCTCTGCAGGGCGAGAGTGGACTGCAAATTTTCCATCAAGATTGGCCCTGTACTGTGTACAATAAATAAATGGTAAATGTTTTGGTTTGATGATAGTGCAGAGTGACAGCTTTGAACCAGTATGTTCGTCATCGAACTCAACGTTCTACTTCTCAAACCAACGAGTACACCAGTCAAACCAGTTCGTTTTGTCAACTAACCGAAGGAAGACTTCACTCAGCTAACTTGCTATTGTCAAAAAAATCAAACTTTGCTTACAAACGAAATTTATTATCGAGTGTAATAACAAATCGAGTCAGAGTGGACGTGATTGTCTGGAGTTCAATTCACTAGGACCCGTCTCTTTTACCAATTATTGTCATCTCGCTAGCGCAAAGAGGCGGACTTTGTACAGTTGTCAATTTCACTTGAGCTTAAAATGTCTTCTCACGCGTTGTCTTGTTTCCTATCAGATCCATCACATATAAATAACACACGCCCGTGAAGAGTCTGAGATTTAATTAATGATAAAATCAAAATGCTATCCTGGATGAGTAATAAGTCGGGACTAAATTACGAATGATCTTTGCTACGATCGACGGTGGACTGTTGCTGGTTGTCTATTGTCAAGAGAGTCTGCGGGTAAGTCACCATCTGTTATTTTTTAAGTCTCTTAAAGCAAAATGTCTGTCGTCTCGGCTAACGACCAAACGGTTAGAGATCGCAGCCCTGTGCATGGTTTGCACGGTTTTGTTTGTTTCCGTGAGAGTCGTTTTGTTACCTGTGTTGATAAACCTGTGTCATTTCAAAACATCTACGTGGGCATCTTGGCCACCCGATCTCCCTCAAGGTTGTAATGTTTGTTCTTTCTTTTTTTCTTTGAATTTGTTCTGAAATAATACAATCTTGAAGAAAAATAAAAATAAAAACAACTGAAAAGGAAAAGAGAAAATGAACCTAATATTCAGGGCCTTGGACATTTCAGAAGAGTATAGAGAAATAGAGTTCAATTTTCAGAACTATCCAGCAAATTCTTTTGTTGTTGTCGGTGTCAAACGAGGTATTTCACAGTCATTACCGGCGATCTAGCTAATAAGCGAACTAGCTAATTAACGCGCGCGAAAAGCGCAATTCACCTGTCCGCTATCTACTAATTTGGTTTGTTTATTCATAATTTTCTCATTGA